TCAAACACACACACATCACGTTGACACACACACACACATACACACACTGACGCACACCGCCACAGTTGCCGCTCTTCTCGCCGGCTACCCACTGCCCCTCCCGCCGGCAACCTACAGTTCTGCCGCCAACGCCAATCATCCCGCCACCTTTGGAGCTGCCGGATATGCCGTCCACGAACACACAGGTGGGATCTCCGCCTCTGTCGCCGCGCCGTCGAGCGCCTTTCTTCACCTACGATCGCACGGTCGTCTGCTGTGCCAACGCCATCAGATCAGACGATGTCGAAATCATCGGGAATATACTGGAAAAGCCGTCCCCACCGTGAATGTGAACCACAAAAATCTCCCGAGAATCCCGACCAAAGTATCGGCCCTCCGGTTGGATAATTTCGATGGCTATGATATCAAGTGTGAAGAGGGGCAGCAAATTCGACGATGAAAGGGGTTGACGGCCATCTTTTTTTTTTTTTCAAACGGCATAAACATACTCATAAAAAGGCCAAAAAGGCAATGTACACAAACGAGCCCGAAGCTGGGGAATTGGGAGGTTACACCCACAACTAATGTAACCTATACGGAATACCAACTAGCAAAGCTAGAAACACCAACACACACTAAACCAAACCAAACCTAGAAACTCCATGAAACAAAACATAAAAGACCCCAACAGGGTAATACCTGAGTGTAAGCTCCCAACAGGAGAATTAAATGCTACACTCGGGCCGAACTGGGGCCAACGGCCTAAATCAAAGACACATAAACCACACTAACACAAATAACACAATCACACTACAAAGAAAAACTAATAGCATAAACAACAAAAAATAAAACGGAGCCCTACCCCAACGAACTGAACTAAGCTCAACCAGCAGTGACCGACCAACACAAAGACAACCTCGAGCCCGAGAACCGCTACCGAAACTGCACCAACGCCTATACAACAGGTGAACTCAACCCCCGAGACAATCCCAAATCGACCTATCTCTAACCGAGAGTTCCCCGACCGGACCCCACCCCAGCCCCACCAAACTCGTCTAACACCACTAGCCAAACTCGATAGGACCCAATCCCCCGTCGCCTAGCACCACTAGCCGAACAGGGGGGGCTGAAGGTGGCACGGTTCCTCAACCCCATCCGCCGCAATCGGAAGACGTCACGGCAGCCGGAGCCTCGCCCAATCCTCAACACCATACACCAACGAGAACCACTGCAGAAACCCATCGACAAACGACCAACACTCCACCGGAAGTCCCACCGGAGAGAGTAGAATCGACAATCGGGTTTTGGCATACCTCCGTCAGTCGCAAACAAAATCAGAGAAGTGAGAGAGCATACCTCCACCAATCGGGTGTCCGGCGGCGACTGGGAGGGAACTACCCATCGTAAACTGGACTTCGACCAAGGGGACTCAGATACGCAGGTGACCGACATCGGAGACCACTCAACAGAGCCGCAGCAACATCAAGGCGCACGACATCTAGGACAGGGCAAGAGGTCAGGGACGACCGCTGGCCAAACTCCAACGTCACCGAGGAAGGTGGATCTAAGCCAATTGAAGGAGAAGCAGCGGGCGGATTAGGTTATCGCAGAGGAAAAGGGGCGGATGTCTGGGTCAACGATGTTGACGACCATCTTCAAGTTTGCCACTGCAACTTCTTTTGTGTTGTTGAGAATTTAAAATTTGATAGGGGTCTTATTGCAATTTCCCAACTTTTGATTAAACGATAATTTAACCTATGGGCCAAATTTATAATTTTTAGAAAAATATATAAAAAATATTAAGTAAAGAATATCAAAATACTAAATTCATTTTTATAATTAGCAAGAATAATTAGCATATTTGTTTGGAGTAGTGCAAGATGAGGGCGAGAGAAATTCCGATATTATTCTGAAACTGCAATGACTAGACTCCCTTTTAAGTTCATGCTGACGAGCAGCGGGTTTAAGTTAATTAAATGCACATTAGCCTTTTGAGTTCATACTGACGAGTATTTGGTTTAAGTTAATTAAACACACACACACACACACACATACACACACACACACACATATATATATAATAAGAATTATTATTTACCAAAAATAGTAAGCAAAAAAATCTGGCAACATTAGTTGCATACCATTTCGGACAAGTTTTGTTTTTATTTGTTATTTATTAAATGAGAAACATTTAAATATGCCTTCAATCACGGATAGTTAGTTTTGATAACCAAATTGCTCAACTTTGGTACAAATAATGCTTTTAAAAATTTGAGTTTTATTTCAATACCAATCCTTTTTAAAATTAATTGATATTAACATTCATTATTTGGGCAAAAAAAAATTGCAAGTTCTTAACCCATAATAATTGTGTAAAATTCATCAAAATCAATGATAACACATAATTAATTGTCAGATTTGTGTAGCCGAGATGAGTTTTAAAAGAAAAAAATCCTTTCGACGCCAAAAAATTTTGTGTAAAAACATAATTTTGCCGAAAAAAAAAATAACAAATCTACCGACACACACTCAAATTCTAAGAGTTCTTTTGACTAATCGTAAACACCCAAAAAATCCAAACATAAAAGTACAAAACTCGAACATAAAACCTTTAAAATTAAAAACTCCACATTTCTTTTTCGGGCAAAACAACTAAAATTAACAAAATCTACCGGCGCACACTCAGATTCGAAGGATTCTTTTGATTAATTGTAAAAACCAAAAAATTCAAACATAAAACTACAAAAATCGAAAATGAAAACCCTCAAATTGAACAATCCATATTTTGTTTTGTGCAAAACACCTAAAACTAATTTAAAGCATCGATTAAATGAAAACTAAAAAAGAATATGTATTTATAAGATCCTCAGTGTTAGAACGGAAAGCTGGAAGAAGATCGATGAATAAAGACGAATAAAGAAACTGGAAGCAATGAAAAATGAAGGAAGAAATGAAGCCCTTGGTCTGATAATTTCACTATTTATACTATGTTCAGTGTAATCTAAACCGTCGATTTGCGTTGACTAATCTGGATCATTGGAATTTTTTATTTTTTTTTTTGGGCCAATATGAACTTTCGAAGCCAACATTGTAAATTAGACCGATATGAACTTTTTGAAACTCACATTTTTCAAAACATTCCTATTGTACAAGCCCAACATAATTAATATAAATAATTACACGTATCTTATAATAAGTATTTGTTAGGTTTAATTATAATCAATGATCGGTGCTTTATTATATAATTTAAATTTAAATACAAAATTGCCTTTTAAAAAGGACGGAAATAATAAAGCCCCGTGCATCGCACGGGTACTGTACTAGTTAGCATAACAATGTGAATTTCACAAATATTAAAAAATCGGTTATTTCGGTCCAGTTTTGATGTTATTTACAAAAAACAAAAAAATAATAGAATCGAGCGAAATATATGAAAAAAACTTATTTTTATATTTTATTTGTATATATAAAAAATTATTTCATATTTATAAAGTAATATATATATATATATTAGTTATGTATAAAAATAATATAAAATAAAAAATTATAAATATTAAGTATATTTATTTTAAAAATAGTTGCACTTCGAATGCACGTAATTGTTATAAGAATTGCACATTAGTGACTACTAAACTGCACTATATCCACCGAGTCGGACAAATAAAAGTTTTGGTTCAAAATTTATATATTGGTTTGATTATCTATTTGTATTTTTGAAATTTTGGTTATCTCATGCCGTTGTCAGCTTTATTGTTGAAAATAATCGAAACGACCGAACAGTATTTTGTTTTACAACCAAAAAAATAATATAAGATATTCAATAAAACCATTAAAATATTAAATATATTTTGGATTTAGTTTGGTTTGAGATAAATTATTAAAATCATATGCACTTTGAGTGCAGGTTAGCGTTAGACGAATTGCACATTAATGACTGCCATATTGCACCATACCAATCGAAACCAAGCGAACTAAGATTTTGGTTCAAAATATGTATGGTCGATTATCTATTTTTACCTTTAAATTTTAGTTATTTCAGTTCGATGTCATATTTAATTTTTAAAATAATCGACATAACTTAACTGACCAAGTTACATAAAACAATATTATTTTCTTGTAAATTTTTAATTTAAAATAATATTTTTAAACCAAAAATATAAAACTGTAGATTAAAAAAAATTAAATAATAAATAATATTTGAATTTCATTTATTTCGGTTAATTTGATTAACCAATCAAATAAACTAGTTAATTTTGTTCGGTATTAAATTGGTTTAAAACAAAAGATCAATTAGTTTAGATTGTACAATAGCGGCTGAAAGTTTGCACAGTGATGTATATTGGGCTGCACATTATTGGCATTTTATTTACTATTATTTTGTGCAGGTATTGAGGTTTTATTAAATTACATATTCACCTCAAGTACTAAATATAATATTATTTTTTTATAAAAAAAATAATAATTTTTATGTATTTTTTTATATAGTTCGGCTCTATTTTTTAATTTAACCGAACAGACCGAACAATATAAAAATATTGTTATTAACTTTTTTATATTTATGTATAACATTGCACGTTAAGGTTATACGAGTTGCACATTAGTGACTATTAGATTGCACCCTATTGAACAAAATCGAAATTTTTCATTTTTGATATTTTAAAAATATCAAATTAATATAAAAATAATATATGATAATAAATAAATTATATGATACAAATAATAAATAAAAAATCTTTTATTTATTTAGCTTAATCCGATGTACAGTTATATATATTAAACTAATTTTTGAATATACGTAAATTATATAGAAAGGTATAAAATATCGTACTTTATATGGTAGTGCACTTTATAAAACAACACTTGTATTTTCTTATCACACTCCACAATTATTGTTAACAACTTCCACCAAAATATTACGAAATATAAATCTATAAAATGGGTCTAAAAAATACTTTAATATCCATCACATCATCTATCCATAAAAAAAAAAAAAAGAATAAAAGAAAAAAAAAACATGCTAACATATCAAAATTTCAGTATTGCACTTTACGTATCAATAGGTTGCACTGTATACAATATTATATTGCACCTTATAACACAACATGTTGCACTTTATAAAATAACGAGTTGCACCTACCAAAAATTACAACTAAAAATTATAGCAATTATGCTGATCAATCGAATAATATTAATTGGTTAAAAGTCGAATTTATTTTTTTAAATAAACAAAGTAACCTAATATGTCGAACTATATGAAAAAATATTACCAATTTTTTTATTTATTTATGTTTTTTATGAAATTAGATTCTACACGTAATTTTTATGTATTGAAACTTCATATTATGGTTATACAAATTGCACATAAATAACTATTATATTGCACAAAATGAACGATATCCAACAAACTTTTAAGTTTTGGTTCGAATATTATTATTAATATTTTTTTATATATCGGTTATTTCGATATGATGTTACTTTTTTATTCAAATAACCGAAATAAAAAATAAACTATATTAAAAATTATTAATTTTTATATTTTTAGTTATTTAGATAATCGAAATAATCGAGCAGCCGAACTACATAAAAAATACTATTATTTTTAATTGTTATTTATTTCAATAAAAAACTATAAAAAAAATAAATGATACATGAAATGTTAAAATATTATATTATAATTTCATTAATTACAAATATACCCATGAACTCAATGCAGTTTGTTAAAATTAATGATACTGTAATTAAGCCCCTACATGTTTTCAAATTTATAAACTGAAGGCTTTGAGCATCCAACAAAATCTGAACATATAATTCACGCACTGGCTCGACTCCGGCCGTCTCTTCTGGCCGGCGCCGCCGCCGCCGCCGACCCCCGCCTGACCACCCGACGCATACACCTACCTTCGTTGGACTCTCGCTTAAAGATGCAGATCGTCGTGGCCACTGTCCACCCTGTCCCGTCGTCACAATCTTGTCCCCGCCACAGTCCACCGTCGACGCTGTCCAGTGATCGACGCGACAAAATTCACTCTGAAAAAATGGCCGAAAGTGATGGCCGTCGGCCGAGGGCGGTGGCACTCGGCGGCGTGCGGAAGCAGAAGAGCGATGGCTACAGTTGGTGTACGTGGGTTGGCCGGCTGTGACGAGCTGCATGAAGGGTGGGGGTCGGGGAAGGTCGGGGAGAGAGATCAGAAAGGAGATAGAGGAGAGGAGGAGAGAGGAGAGAGGAGAGAGAAGAGAATGGTTGTTGGGATTAATTGTTGGTGGGGCCCACTAAATTTAGTGTTGGATGAAATTACACCACTATCCTTCTAGCTATTTATTTGTTCATGATATAAAATATATTTACAGATTCGCCATTGCAAATTTGACCTCTTAAATCAATTTTGACTTAATGATGTCCATTGATTGTACTGATCCCATGATACATAATCATTCTTATTTCTTTCACTATCTACCATTCTCATATGATCCCTTCTATAAATATATATATATATATATATATATGTATATATATATATAGTGAGAGAGAGAGAGAGAGAGAGATAGTGAAAAAAATGAGAATAAGTCTGAACCATGAAATCAAGCATATCAATGGTTATGATGAAGTCAAACTATGGTCAATCATTAATGGTATTCTGGTAATTATTTGATAACATTGTAGTCAAATATGTGCATTTGACTAATAATTAAGGGTAACTTGGTCAATACACATATCAGGTGGGACCCAATCTTCTCTATTCTTAATACACATATATTACATCAGTGGTACCCACTCATTAAATTAATTCACCACACATTTCTCTTTTCTCAACCTCTCTCTCATTCTCATAGAACATTGAATACGCATACACACACTACACACACACACACTCTCTCTCTCTCTCACACACATATACACAGTTCCGACAGGTAGGTCGCCAGTCCGTCACATCGCCGCCGCCTTCCTCCAGCAGCCATCCATTCCGCATCCACTTTCCGGCAACCAGAGCTTCGTCGCGCAGCCGCCCTCTGCATGTATCTGTCTAACCTCCCCCATCCGATGTCTGAAACCCGTCGCCGCCGGCGCCACCAGTCACATTGCAGCCGACAAGAACCAAGTCGTCGCCGCCGCCACAAGTCACGTTGCAGCCGATAAGAACCAAGCCTTCGTCACTAGTCACGCCACAGCAAACATCCGGACGTCGAAGGTGAGACACACCGGCGATGTGCCGGCGGCGGGACGAACTGCCCGCCAGCCGTGTCGACTCCATAGCCCCGCCAGCGGCGAGACGAACCACCCGCCGATGAGAATGCAGTAGAAACATTTGAATTTTGAATTTGGGAGTTTGGGCCTCATTATGAGAATTTGAAATGTTTAAGGGACATAATAGCAATTTTTGAAAGTTTATAATATTATAATTTAATTCATGGGTTGAATATGTAATTTACGAATCATTTAATTATTGCACAATATTGTTCAATGCATTGCACATTACTACTCAGTTGATTGCACATTACTGATGAATGCATTGCACATGTCTGTTCAGTGCACTGTAATTCATTAATAATTTAATATACAGTTATATAGTCCAATCATTGGTTATTTCAATTATTAAAAAAAAAAAATCTGAAATCAAACTGAAATACACAAACTTTTAGCAGCAAAAGGCATAAGCCGAATTGACACACGATTTTTTCAGATTGATTTATTTTTCCTATTATGATGTGATAGTTATTTTTGTTTTTTTGGCTAAATTATGCATACCGCACTATATGATGCATCATATAAATAAATAAAATCCATAGTAATTCATATGAAAAAATGCACATATAAAATCGACATTAATTCATATGTAAATGCACCATAGAACCAAATTAATTAGTTTATTTGTTAGGTTAAAGAAGATTTTGAATCAAAATAACTAAATTTTAAAGGTAACAACAGATAATCAATCTGACATGTAAAATTCGAACCCAAAAACTTATTTCAGTCGCTAAGTGCAATCCGACATACTTTAACGTGCAAATCGTATAACACTAATGTGCAATCGAACTCAAATATAACTATTTTTTTTTATATAAATGTTTTTAGTATTATACTTTTTTACTTAATAGTATTATAAAGTATTAAGTTAATACTTTATAATATTTTTCGGTTGAACATATATAATATGTATATAGATAGAATATATAAATAATATTTTTTATATAGTTTGTCAGTTTTATTATTATTATGTAAATAAAGTCTAAAGCCGGATTGACCAAAACATTAATATTTGTGAAAAATGCATGTTATCTTAATGTGCATACTCGAATGCATTAATGTGCATTTAGTATAACACTAACTAGTATGGAACATGTGCGATGCACGAGCTGTATTTGTTTAAAAAAATTATAAATTGAAATTTATTACTCAATGAATTATGATGCGTAAGGCATTTGTAAAGTAATCATAAGTTTTTCGTTAGTAATAAGTCATACATTATCAAATGTCTCATTGTACACAACATTATTAGTTTGATTACTAGGTAACTCCTCGTCCCCACAAATTAATATTTTCAATCACTTCCTATTAGTTGCACATGAAAGAACAACATATGATTGATTGTGACTAAAAAACTTTCTTCAAGAACAACTACATGCGATAAAGACTAACCCCGACAATATATGTGTTTTTGTATTTTCGTGCAAGCTGCCTTTTATCGTATGAGTTTGATTGGATATTTATAAGTCTCACATTCGTGTCAAAGCAAAAAATATGGTATAAAATTAAAGTGGTAATATTTATTTATGTGGTAAATATCACATATTTTGTTTATTCGAATGATACCAAAATAAAAAGTATTTTCACCACAAACATTATGATATAGTAAAAAAAATTGTATAATACGTGTGATAATTCATTTTTTGAAAAGCCATTAATTATTTTGGCGAAACATTTTTACTAAAATTGATTTAATTTTATTTTTAATTTATATAAATTAGTGGATAATTATTATTATTGGAGTTATAAATGTGGTACCTCACAATTTTTATCATCAGTTACCGTCATGATTTTGAATCATGATATTCCGTTGCGACTCCATTTTTTAACCCCATAAAATGTATTCATTACCTTCCATTTTAAATGCAAACATCGCAGTAAAAATATAGGCTATACTAGTATATGATGGTTCACGGTCCACAAAAATTGGATATTGTAAGATCATGATGAGCATACAATGATATAATAACGCAAAAATATTTACAAAATTATTTTTCTTATTAGTTTTGTTTATATGTCACTTAGAAAATGATGACATAACAATTTCTATACGTCTGTGTATATATTGTATGTTCTGGGAAAAATATATATTTTAACATTAAGAATTATGAAGTTTAATTTGTCAATGTTTGACAACTATCTAACGATCTGAATCGGTTATGATTTTATATTTAATTGGATGAATTTTAATCTTATTGAGATATAGGTTTATAAAGATAAAATAAAATATACAAATTAAATGAGATTTGTGTATATAAGGGATTTTTGTACCACAAAAATATGTTACCAATAAAATACAGGTTTATCTTAAAAAAATGATTTTGACAAAGTCAATACAAAGAGAATCTCTTTTATCATGGATCCTCCTTCCTATGCATTAATCTTTTTCTTTTGTTATTAATATGTGTGACAATTCTTTTTTGGAAAGTCATTAATTATTTTGGCGGGAAATTCTTACAAAAAATGATTTTAGTTAATTCTATATATATATATATATATTTGCAGTACAACAGTCATTCAAGAGACATCTATTGTCGTGACTCTATATTCTATTGTGCATTGTAACGCCCCAACCGACTTAAGGAGACATCTCAATTATTTATTTTAATTATGCAGTTAGTAGTTGCATATTATTTAAAGATTTCTATGCTCGACGAGTTTTTTGGAATTAATTAGACGATAGTGTCTAATCAATTCATTAAGAGAAATAGTTTATTTAGACGTTAGTGTCTATGTAAATTATTTGAATTATCTAATAATCGTTAGCTATTCGATTTTATTCGGTTTATTATTTTAGTAGCCGTCAAAACCGTTTTAAATCCAATTTCGGTTTCGTCAAGTTTATTTATTCTCGATTCTTAGAAATTCTCGAGACCAATTCTTAGAATTTATCGAGATCAAAATTAATTTTAGTTATTATAAGCCTTTTATTCAGCCTTTTTTAGGCTTATATATTTGAGGAAATTACACCCCCCACTAATATATTTCATTTTAATAACACTTTTAGACCCCTTATATTCTTATTCGTAAAATTACCTAAATGACAAATAAAATTTTCAATTATACCTAACATACTACACGAACCGTTATCAACTTTTTAAATGCTAATGAGAGATTTAATTGAAATTAAAGATACACTTACCTAAAAAAAAAGAAACAAAAAAGTAACCAAAAACTTGATAACCTTCGGCCAAAACCACCCAAAGCCGCACGTATCCTACCACTCTACAAAAAAACGGCTCCAGAAACTTTCCTCAATTCAAGTTTAATGGCCAAAACTAAACTCCCTCATCCTCATCGAAAAAATCCGACAAATGATGCCGACGACACACCTCATATTAGATCGAGTAACCGGCTCTGTAAAATCCACCAAAAAAATCAACCAAAACTCGTTTAGAAAAAACTAATTTTCAAAAAAGATATAAACCCTAATCCTAGTCGTAGGTCTTTCGGCTAGACTAGAATGCAAAAATCTAGTTCATCTCTCGGTTCAGACGACTTCCGACAAGAAGCTTTTGTTGTCGATATTGGTGTCGTTGGCGGAAAGTAGTGGACGAGCGAGGAAGAAGATGGTGAGGTCGGGTTATTTGAGGAATGTGGAGAGCCTCGTGGAGGAGGAAGACGAGTTGGACGCGAAGAAGATTATGAGGAGGGTTTCGACGAGTAGGTTGAAGAGGATTTGGGGAGGGCTTTGGCATTCTTGATTAATGGAGGGGTTTCACGGTTAACATTAGTTCCACTTTTTTTTTCGTCTCTTTTCTTTTTTTGTGGGTTTTTTTGGGTTTTGTGGAAGAATTTTGAGGTGTAAATTTTGAGTTTTTTAGTTGGTTTATTGCTCTTGTTTAATCTAATGTTCAGATGAATTATATTCCAGGTATATCTAATATTATATTTCAGGTATATCTAATATTATATTTCACGTTATATTCCAGTTATATGTTTCAGTTCATATGTATTATATGTTCTAATTTGGTTTATGTATGTATTATATATTCCAGGTATGTTCTAGGTATATTTTACGTTATATTCCATGTATATTCCAGGTATATATTACATTATATTCCAGTTACACAATATTCCAGGTATGTTCTAATTTGCTCTTGTTTAGTACAATGTTTCAGTTCATAATCTGTTAAGATGAATTATATTCCATGCATATCTAATATTATATTTCATGTTATATTCCAGTTATATGTTTCAGTTCATATGTATTATATGTTCTAATTTGATTTGTATGTATGTATTATATATTACAGGTATGTTCTAGGTATATTTTACGTTATATTCCATGTATATTCCAGGTATATACTACGTTATATTCCAGGTATGTTCCACTTTGTAATTTTTTGCACTTTGTAATTTGCAGTATAACGTAAAACATCTATTTTGACTATATTACAGGTATATTTTAGCTTATTTCAACTATAATTTTACGCAAAATTACACAAGATGCGAAAAAAAAAAGAAAAATAAATTTATGAAAATAGCGTAATAGATGTTTAAACATCTAATTAATTTCATAAAAATATATTAAAGTATCAATAAATACCAAACATTCATGAAATAAAAAACCTTTAAAATTGTACATGGCAGTTATTGTCTCACTGAAATATCACTAAATATATACCAGAATATATAACTAAATATCACTGAAATATACTAAATATCAGAATATCACTGAAAACTCCTGAAAAAATGACACAGTATATATACCAAAATATGTAACTAAATATTACTGAAATATACTATCACCTGTTCAGCCATAGGATATTGTAATACAAGTATAAAACATAGATGAGGATATTGTAATACAATGTTAAGTTGCACGATTTTCTGAAATTATATTTCTCTGCCCCATTATTCAGCCATAGGAGTCAACATAATGCAGTTTCATAAAGACAACAAGATTCAGATAGATCGACATTTAAAGAGGAAAAAAATCAATTTCCACAAGTCAGAAGTGGGCTAAAACTAATCACATAAGCAATTCTGTTCAAACAACAATACAAGATTCGGAAATATTATGCCCTTCCAAAGTGACCGCTTAGATTAAGAGTGTTATCATGCGCAGAATCGAAAAATTGTTAAATTAACAAAGACTAATCAGTAGAAACCTCAACACATGGGAGATCCATAGCCAACTTTACAGAATACCAGTATTTTTTTTTTTTTTTCGTATGTGCAGCGATTTTGGATCATGAGCTCGTAAGAAATCACGGAAAATCACGATGGAGCGTTTTTTGGTATTTTTCTGTTTCTTTTTCCTGTTACCATCGCGGAAATCACGTCATTGGATATGGAATGGAGGATGTTACACTGGGTAACTGACTTTTAGGCATTCACGTAAATTTTTTTGGTCTATTTAAGTATCTACCAAATTATTTGTTTGTTAATGGTAAATTTGAAATTACTATAATTTCATGTGGGATGAATAAAAATTTGCCTATATAATTTTGGCCCAAATATGGGGTTTTCTCGGCCCAAAGCCAAGTAATTATCCGCCCAAATCCTCTAATATTAGGAAGAGTATCAATTTGTATTCTCTCACTTTTCGTTCGGACCAAGCAAAAAAGATATGAGAGCCCTCATTATTTTCTTTATGTTTCCTTCGTTCAGAGGAGAANTGCACCTTTTCTTCCCGGCGTGCACCCATCGCCCGTAATCCCAGCCTTCCATCGCCATAAATCCACAGCAGCCGGCGAGCCCTTATCGCCACCCACGAACCACCCCAGGTGCATGCGCACACATGAGGGATTACAGAGCCTCGGTTCGCGTGAGACGACGCCGCCACACCGTCAATGAAATCATCTCAGTCCTTCTCGGGAGTTTTTAGCGAGCAGCAGCTGGGAGTTTTTAGTGAGCAACAACTCTTTCAGGCCCCGTGTGAGAAGAGCCGCAGGCAGCCCTTTTTGTAGGAAGAATTAGCAGAAACGAGCTGAGGCCGATTTCCGATCTTTCGATCCCGATTAGTAAATTCCGGAAGAAGGTATAAGGTTATACCCTCTTCTTAATTTTTAGAATTTATTTTCGAAGGAATTAAGACTTGTTTAAGGTTCATGGACTTGATATGTATTGAGTTGAGTTTAATTCATGAAAAATGAGAATTAATGAATTCGAGTAGTTCATGAGATTTGAATTGTTGAAGATGAATGTTGGACTCTTGATGTTGGTGTTATGAGGATCTGATATATATCATGACTTTTTTTTAGTGCTCTTAATAGCCGGGACAATTGCCTTGTAGTCGTTTGAAAATTGATGTTAATTGCCGAAGTTTCGAGCCTCATTTATTTTAAAAAATGTGGGACTTTTTTTTTCGAAACGACAGAAATAGCTATTATTAAACTCAAAACGAACAACGTTCGAATACATCCGATACAAAAGAAAAAGAAAACTGGGAGATCCGCTCAAAGCGGTCTAGAGCCTCGACAACATAATAAATCTTTACTCAAAGTTTCTAAAGCTATAACCAAATTTGAGGAATGGAAAGCTGACCACTGCAAGGTGCCTAGCCCTCTTCCATTCCCCTATTCATGCAGATAGAACCTACAAGACAGAAACTACAAAGTAGAAAAGATCCAATAAAGTTATTACAACATAGAAAATTCCATCCAGTCCGATTGAGCTATCTTTATCACCAAATGCTCCGGGATCTTAGACTTCTTAAAAATGTATAAATCTCATGTCTTCCAAAGCCACCAAAGTATGTATGTTGTAAGTTGGATTCTTGCTTCGGCAACTTCAGATTTCTTTAAAGTGCAAATCTTGTTCCACCAGACTTTGAATGAATCTTTACAATCAGCTACCCCATCCCACTGCACTGGACTCATCTTCCAAATCATTTCTGCTCTCTGACATGTGAACAGCAAATGTTCAACAGTTTCTGCTTCTACACCACACATTGAACAAGTACTGTCTATCTCCATCCCTCTCCTCCTCATATGAACAGCTACAGGTAAAGCTCCCGAAATACATTTCCACAAAAAATGTTTATTTTCCCTGGTATCTTTAGCTTCCATAATCTGAGTTTTGTTGCACCTTTGTATTCTGAGCTATTGCTACTTTCTGGGAAATCTGACTTTAGGATTTTGAGCCTGTAGAGGTAGGCATATGTACTTGACACTGTAAAGTTGCCTTTTCTCTCCAATCCCCAAATTAACCTATCTTGTCTCTGTGGATTTAAAGTTTTTATTTTTAGAATGGCATTGCTCTCAGTTTCATTGAAAATCTGTCTAATCAGCCCCTCATTCCACTGTGAGCCATCTGCTATCATCAAATCCTTCACCCATGTCAAATAGCTTGCAGCAAAAGGGGCCAAAGTTGGAGCTGGATTTTTGAGGTTTGGCACCCAATTTAAATCTGTGATTCTGGTGTTAGCTCCATTTCTAATTTCAACAGAAGTTGAGAAAAGATAGGCATCATTTCCATCCAGCAGTTCCACATCCAAGATCCATTTTGGGTTTTTGATGTATGAAAGAGTGAGGTGTTAGGGAAGTACCTGTCCTTGAGGACTCTGCTCACTAATGAATCTGGATTTGTGGCTACCCTCCATAATTGTTTGCAAATGTGTGCTTTGTTGAAAAATTGTAAGTCTTGAAGTCCCAGCCCTCCTTGATCTTTGGGTAAAGTTAAGTAGCACCATCTCTTCCAATGTAAGCCTTTGTTTTGTTCATTTCTTGAATTCCACCAGAATTGTGCACATAATTTGGCAATTTCAGAGCAAATAGATACAGGCAAAGTAAAGCAGGACATTGTGAATACTGGTAAGGCCTGGATTACTGCTTTAATGAGTACTTCCTTACCAGCAGGACTTAATAATTTAGCTTTCCAGCTCATCAATTTATTTCTGACTGAATTTAGAATGTATTCAAAAACTTCCCTTTTTGATTTGCCAATACCCAAGGGTAGGCCAAGGTACCTAGTGGATTTATGAGGGATAATACCATTTAATGCTCCGCAGATTGTTACTTGAAGCTGTTGTGGAGTATTCCAGCTGAAAAATATGGAAGACTTCTACAAATTTACTGTTTGTCCTGTAAATAACCTGTACTGCTCAAGAATGTTCATAAGGAATGCTGCTTGGTCTGTGCCTGCTCTACAGAAGAATAATGAGTCATCTGCAAAAAGAATATGTGAGAGCATTGGCCCATTTCTGGATATCTTCATTCCTTGTAACTGCCCACTTGAGATTGAATGATTGATCAGTGCAGTAAGCAACTCTGCAACAATGATAAATAGGTAAGGGGATAATGGATCCCCTTGCCTAATACCTCTTGATGGAGTTACATATCCACTGATTGTGCCATTTATTTTAAAAGAGAAGGATGCAGTTGAGACACAAACCATTATGAGTTAGACAAAATCTGGATGAAAACCCATTTTTATCATTATCTTCTTTAAACTGAGCCATTCAACTCGATCAAAGGCCTTTATTAAGTCTAGCTTTAAAGCCATTAAGTAGTTTGGGCCTGATGAATGTCGGTTTAAAAAATGAAAAGCCTCTTGAGCTATTATTACATTATCAAATAGTTGTCTGTTTTCAACAAATGCAACCTGATATTCACTGATACAAGAACTCAAACAGGTTTTCAGCCTTTGTGCCAACAGTTTTGAAATGATTTTATAAAAGACACAACAAAGGCTTATTGGCCTGAATTGTCCCACAATTTCTGGTCGTGCACATTTGGGAATAAGGGAAATGATTGTG